GGCAAATTCAGGAATACCAGATACACGTTTTGTGAAAAAAATCACTTTACCTTTATCACAAGCCAAATCATTTAAAGTTTGACTAACTTTATAGTTATTAAGTGTTAATAATATTTATGACATTAAATAGGCAATACTATGAAAATATTTTTCATAAAATGTAATGCATGCTACTTAGTACTTATTTGGTAATCTAAATTTCGGTAGTTTTTGTTTTTTATATAAACTTGACCGAGCTTAATAAGTTAGATTGACTATGAACAAAACCAGAGTGACATGCTCTTGGGACCAAGGGAGTAGCTGTCACTAATGGCTGTAGACTACTTAGCATGGTGGCTATGGACTTAATTGGATTGGTATATAGTACACATGTTTATGGCATCCTTGATATATAGTACGAGATAGTTACCAGCTCTAAGACAACTTTTGTAATAGTATCAACTTAGAGTATATGCATGAGATTAGCTCTTGATCAAGATATAACTTTTCTTACTCTTCTATTAAATATGCAATAGTATGCTTAGAGCTAGCTCATAAGTCATCATTAGAGGTGCCCTTAGAATAGAGAGAAGGGCAAGGGAAGAAAGTATGCTAGCCTCTATCTCTTATTTCGTCTATCTCTCTTGCATTTTTCAAGATTGCAACCCATGTCCAACCCATGGAGAGAAAAAATGGTATAGGACTAGCTTAAAAAAACAGATAATGTGAATCACCATAGAGATGCTGTTTTAGACTATATAATAGGAGATATGTCAGGAGACTAAGGGCCTGTTTGATCCCCTCCTCCAAATTAGAGCTCTAAAACTCTAGAGTACTTTAGCTTAGTTTTGAGATCCAAAGCTGTCATGTGAGGTGGGCTAAAGTTCAGATGTAATTTTAGACCAACTATTTAGAGATTTTAGCTATAATACTTAGAGGTCTAAAGTTTAGAGGAGCGGATCAAATAGGCCAGGTCTAAAGTTTAGAGGAGCGGATCAAATAGGCACTAAAACTAGCCATCAACTATAACTACTGGAGACACTCTCTGCCACAATCAAGAGCGAGAAAATCCTACAAAAGTCCTATATCTGTATAGTGCATATCTTTTTATAGTTTTGTCCTTACTACCAATCATTAGCTCGTTAGTCAGAAGGAACAAAATATAGAAATTACAAATAATTCATCGTCCACAAAACATGCATTTTACTATTTTTTGGATAGATTAAAAGATGTAAAGTTAATATGATGTCCCTGTTAATTAGCGGTTGTTCTCATTTACGGAGGATCGGGGCCTAGCTCACATAGACCCCACTGAGTGTCTAAATACTAGGGCCTTGTTTAGTTCCCAACCAAATTTTCAAAAAGTGCTATAGTAATCATCACATCGAATTTTGTGATACGTGCATGAAGCATTAAATGTAGACGAAAAAAAACTAACTGCACAGTTTGGTTGGAAATTGCGAGACGAACGTTTTGAGCATAATTAGTCCATGATTAAACACTAATTGCTAAATAAAAACGAAAGTGCTACAATATGCAAATTCCTAAAATTCGCGAACTAAACAAGGCCTAGAATGATATGCTTTGTATTTTCGTGAAACAAAATCTGGATCATATAGTTTTTTTTTATGGAGGTTGCATATTCTCTCACCGTAGCACACTAAGGTCCTCTTTAGAATACAGAAATTTCCTAAGAATTATTTAAGAGGTTCACAGAAACCAGTACAGTATGTTTTTATAGAAAAACATGAAAAACAGAAAAATAAATCTTGCAATCAAAGGGGGCTAAAAGACAGGGAAAGAAATACCAGGCACATCGTAGGGAGTAATCACTAGTGTACGGGTTGACGTCTGGACGAGCTGCACCTGCAGCACTGGTGTCTAGTGCAGTGTACAGTAGTTGCTCACTCGTGCCTTTCTTTAGTTCTCCCTTGAAATTTACTCCCTCATCGAATGCTTGACACATGCATATAGAATATTAAATATAAACTAAAAATAACTAATTATATAATTTACGCGACGAATCTTTTAAACTTAATTAGTGCACGATTTAACAATGCGGTGCAACAGTAACATATGTGTTAATAACAGATTAATTAGATTTAATAAATTCATATAGAAGATTATCGATGAATTCTATAATTTATTTTTTTATTAATATTCAAACACCGAATACGACCCTCGACGTAACACTCGACGAGACACCCTCTGAATTTGAACAAGCCATCACTGTCACTTTTTTTTTCCTCCAAATTTCTTCAGAAGCCGGTCAGAGGCGCCGTTGCTACTCCAACTCCCCCCCCGTTTCATTCCTTCTCTTAAATGCACCTCTTTCTCTCTCCTCCTTTCCGTCCTGTCCCTCTCCTCCTGTCCTGGGAGCCACCCCTCTCCCGTCTGCCGTCTCCCCAGACTCCCAACAAAGCCCCCCCCCCCAGCGGCACCCAGCAGCACTGCAGCAGCGCACAAATCCTCGCCCTGCCGACGGGGGCGCGCCACGGCCGAGCCCTGAGCCCGCACACGCATTTGCTTCGGCTCTCGGTGCGCTCAGCTCCGCTGTACCGACGGCTTTCGCCGGCGGAGGTAAACCCCGCCTCGCCCTCGCTGCTACTGCTTCTGCTCCGGCTCTCCGTTGAAACCCTGCTGCTCCGAGCCCTGCTTCCTTTGCGATTTCGGTTGCTCTTCCTGCGCGCGCTCATCCTCCTAGGCCGCTTCGCGGGATGTGCATACCTTAGCTAAGCGTTTCGCCGCTCCCTGGGAAAAAAATCTCGTCTTTTACTTTAGGCAATTTTTCTTGAAATGGACGGGGATCATGTTGCATTTGTTTGGTTTGATTAGACTTTAGAGAAGAAGGATTTTTAGCCGTGTTGGTTGTGTTTTTTTTTTCATTAAAAAAGAAAAGGCAGAGGTGAACGCTTTGGGTTATGCCCTTGCATTTGGAGTTTCAGTTGTACCTGGCCTGCCGAATTCCCAAATTATTGATACAACCGTACCGTTTTCTCTCCTCTGCAATGTCGATTTGACGAGGGTTCCGACGGGGAAAGGTTGGTGCTTTCCCTGTCCTTCCACGACTTGACATCCTGTGTGTACTCAATAGGAGCCCAAATCTACGCATTTCTCCCATTAGGTATTAAGGTATAGGTATTCTCATGATTTTGGCTGAACCTTACCGTGCTTGCATCAATGGGTGTTTTGTGCTCAGTTACACTGATTGATGTTTGGTGGCGCTGTTTAGCTTCCTGTTTCCGGTAGTTTAGGTTAGCTGGGATATATGCTTCTACAGTAATGTTGTCTCTGGCGCCAACGCCAAACGACGGTGCTGTGAGCAGCACATACATCCATAATGCTCCACTAACTTCACCCTTTTCCTTTCAGTCTTGCTGTTTTAGTTACCTTGATTGAAATGGACAAACGTTGGATCTCCTTTTGAGTTCCAGTTCTTGTATCCACTTGTGTGGTGGATCAAGACATGGGCTGTAACTGCTACTAGTAAACAGTAGCCGCTTTGCTATGATTTTTTTTTTCATCTTCTTCCTGTAGCATGTTCCTCCTATTGCTTAGAATTGACTCAAAATAAAATAAGTCCCACTTGAGCTATAAATTTAATCTCGTACCCTCGAATGGCCTGCGGTCAATCTTGGGTTTCCCACTTGGAGTTAGAAGCTACCACTTGAAAAATGCGTGGATCCTTGCAAACAACTAATTGGCGTTGATCTTGGACTTCGGAACCCTGCTCCCAGGTCACTTGCTGGCTTGAATAATGAATTGGTTCGTCTCAGGGTCTCTTTAAGTGGAGGTTAAGTAACTCTGTACTGTTCTAGAATCTAGATCTTGCAGTCCCTAAACAATGAAGTAAATCTCCGCGCACATTGGCATGTGCGGTAGTTTCCCACGTACACGTCTTCCTGGCAGTGGGATCTTCCCGAGTTCCCATTTGAATTAGTTTAGGTTAAATTAGCTAAACCCTTGCCTTTGTTTCTTTCTCTTTTTGTACAACTTTTGTTAGTGGCGTCTCAGATCATATTAGTCTTTTTCGGTGATCACTTTGCAGAAGCCTTTATGCGATGGTAAGGCTGCTCTGCTCCATGTTAGTCCTAAGAGGCTAAGAGTGCAGAAAGTTACGACATGATAATTTGTTTGTTCAATATTGTTGCGTCTCAGTGTAAGAATGCTCTCCATGACAGCCTGAGATACTCTTTCATGTGAACAAGTAATAAACATCGGGTACATGATGTGCCATGCTCATATTTGTGAACGCTATGATGAGTCCAGCTTTATTCTTGCTCCCTCTTTTCTGCCTACTTTGTTGATGCTTTTGACTTTTATATGCTGACCGGATCATTTCACTTTTTCTCCCTTTCTTTATCTTTATTTTCTTTATGTCCACGATTTTATAGGTCCTGTTTTTTTTTTTTTTACTTTATTGGGTTCCATTCTTTGAAGGTGGAACTTATGTACCTTGTTTTTACGTTGCCACGTAGCTCAGTAAGCCCAGCAGCTACGGTGCTGTGCTCTTGTGCACCTAGGGGGATATATACCAACATTAAGCTTAGAATAAATATTTCTCAGTGGCCTGTAATACATACTGATTTCAAATGATACATTTTGCATGCATTCTATAATGAAACCATGAAAAAACAAGTTGCATTGGTTGGAATGAGAACTCTGTAATCATTAGACATTGATGGGAATTTCTTCTTTTCCAAAGTATCATGGTCAGTGTCATGAGTCACTTGCTGGAAAGGAATGTTTGTTGCGCTACCCCACTGCGTTTTGCTGAGGCATGTGCACTTTTGCATCAACACACACATTTTTTTTGGTTAAGTCCAGGGCATGCAATGATTCCTGACATGTGTTCAGTTGCCTTCTGAAGAAACACTCACCTGCATTCGACATCTTAATGTCAGTATGGTAGCATTTGTCACTGATTATGCTCAATTTTTTATTGAACAGGGTTGCTTACTTTGCCTGATATAGGCAATTGAATATGCTGCTCATTTAATTTGCCCAAGGAAACTCATCAGATGGATTGTCTCAATCTTAGGAGCTCTTTCCGTATTCTGCTCTCGATACAGTTGCTGCTATCATTGTTCAACACCTTGGTTGTAGCGGACTTAGCCTCGGAGAAGCAAGCCCTTCTCGACTTCGTCTCTGCAGTATATCATGGAACCAAGCTCAACTGGGACAAAAATACCTCAATATGTTCATGGCATGGCGTAAAATGCTCAGCGGATCAGTTACAAATTTTTGAATTGAGGGTACCAGCTGCTGGTCTTATTGGCGCAATTCCTCCAAACACTCTTGGCAAGCTTGATTCTCTTCAAGTACTGAGCTTGCGGTCTAATCGATTGACTGGAAGTCTTCCATCTGATGTGGCCTTACTTCCTTCTTTACGTTCCATATACCTACAGCACAATGAACTTTCAGGAGGGTTGCCTTCTTCCTTCAGTCCTAGCCTCAGTGTAATAGACTTCTCCTACAATTCCTTCACAGGAGAAGTGCCTGCAAGTTTACAAAACCTTACTCAGTTAACTGTCCTTAATTTGCAAGATAATTCTTTCTCTGGATCCATCCCTGATCTCAAGCTTCACAGTCTGAAACTACTAAATCTGAGCAACAATGAACTGAAAGGCTCAATTCCTCGTTTCGCTCCAGATATTTCCAAAGGGTTCATTTTCAGGGAATCCTGGACTGTCTGTGCGGGCTACCTCTAGCTGAATGCTCATTTCCTTCACCAACGCCCTCACCTGAATCATCTTCATTGCCTCAATCTCCACCTTCGCCACATCATGATAAGAAACTAGGCACGGGTTTCATAGTTGCAGTTGCTGTTGGTGGGTTTGCATTGCTGATGCTAATTGTGGTTGTGTTGGTCATGTGCTCTTCAAAGAGGAAAGGCAAGGACGAGATTGATGTTGAATCCAAAGGTAAGGGTACTGCCACCAGGAGTGAGAAGCCGAAGCAAGAATTCAGTAGTGGTGTCCAAATTGCTGAGAAGAATAAGTTAGTGTTCTTGGAGGGTTGCACCTATAGCTTTGACTTGGAGGATCTACTGAGAGCTTCTGCAGAAGTCCTTGGCAAGGGTAGTTATGGAACTGCTTACAAAGCTATACTCGAAGATGGTACTGTTGTGGTAGTCAAGAGATTAAAAGATGTTGTGGCAGGGAAAAGAGAGTTTGAGCAGCAGATGGAGCTCATCGGGAGGTTAGGCAAACATGCAAACCTAGTCCCGCTACGTGCCTACTACTATTCCAAAGATGAGAAGCTTATTGTCTATGATTATATTGACACTGAAAGTGTTTCGGCCATGTTGCATGGTATGCTTTTTCACTGCTACAGACATATTACTGATGTGATATTTTTCAAAAACATTACTGATGTGATTGATCAATACTCAATTCAAGAACTAACAACAGGCCAGCATTCCTAAAAGCGCCAACCCCTGACAACAAGCTTAGCTTGAATCACATAACTTGCTGTATCTCTGCCATTTTATTATAGTCCTCTCAGTTTAATATCTAAAGTTATGTCACTGACTAGATATTAGTTGGATATTTTCTTCAATATGGTTGGAAAGAAGACTCACCTTCATAATGTATATCTTCCACTTGCCGAAGCCTGAAGCCGCACTTGTTTTGCTTTTACATAGCTTGACATTCTCATGCTACAGAGTGCAACTTGTGCCAAATAACTCGAGATATCAATTTGTTTTGTTAATGAGCGTTTCTTGCTGCATTTCTTGATCAACAGGTATCAGGGGTGTTACTGAGAAGACACCATTAGACTGGAACTCCAGAGTGAAGATCATCCTTGGGACAGCATATGGAATTGCGCATATACACACAGAAGGGGGCGCGAAGCTCACCCATGGCAACATCAAGTCAACTAATGTACTCGTAGACCAAGATCACAATCCTTCTGTTTCGGACTATGGCCTCAGTGCTCTGATGACTGTGCCGGTCAACGCATCTCGCGTTGTGGTCGGTTACCGTGCTCCAGAGACAGTTGAGAACCGCAAGATCACCCAGAAGTCCGACATCTACAGCTTCGGCGTCCTCCTCATGGAGATGCTCACAGGAAAGGCCCCACTCCAGACCCAGGGGAACGACGACGTCGTCGACCTGCCGAGATGGGTGCACTCGGTGGTCCGGGAGGAGTGGACGGCCGAGGTGTTTGACGTGGAGCTGATGAAGCACCAGAACATCGAGGAGGAGCTGGTACAGATGCTGCAGATAGCCATGGTGTGCACGGCAAAGTCGCCAGACCAGCGCCCGGCAATGGAGGAGGTGATCAGGATGATCGAGGGGCTCCGCCAGTCCACCTCGGAGAGCCGAGCGTCGTCTGATGAGAAATCCAAGGAGTCGAACCCTCCATCAGTGTAATCTTGGGCAGCTCCCTTCATCCGCTTCATCGGTTGCTGCCAGTTGCAGCTCATTTGATTTGTTAGCTAATTTATGATTGAGTTCATGTAAACCGTGGTTGGCATCAGGTGCATTCAGCCTCAGATAGTAAGAACTGAGCTTTCTCATTGAAAGTTTGAAACTCTGTATCTTGGTGAGTGTAGAATTCTTCCGCTGGAAAATTGAAATTGTTAGGCTTGTTCCATGGTGTTCTTGTGCCTACAGGTGCCTGTTCGATTGCAAATTCTTTTACAGTTGCATCTTTCAGAGCATTTGATAAGCACCTGACTCTGAGTCCCTGGCTCTCAATCCACTGCTCAATTGGCAGTTTGGCTCAAGTATACAGTCTTGTAACATATAGTTAACAACAAGTCAATAACGAACAAACTGGATCGCCGCCGCCGATGTAGGGTGGAGCACTCAACGCGCCGTCGTCGCATGCGCCATCGAACAATTTGAGTCTTGCCGTGCCGGTGCTGGGAAGGAAAGGGGATCGAGGGGCAGCAGAAATTTGGAGTTGGAGACGACGGTGACGGCGGCGTAACGCGCAAGGCAATTCCAACTTTGTTAAGGGAGTTTTCCAAGAACGATGTACTGCGTCCGATCTAAATCAACGGCTCAGATTGACGCTGATAGAGACGTTTTTAGTAAGCCCCTTCAAATAGTAGCATATATATCTCAAAGTCCAGCACCATGATGTTGCCCGAGGAGCCGTCCGATCAAAATCAGACGGCTGAGATTGAGGCGGTCCGCGGTAGGCGTTTTTGCGTATATAACCCTTTCATTACCGTGATGGTCTCCGAGGAGTATATAGAAATAGAAAAGATAAGTCGAAAGGATCTCCGCCGAGAAAACCCTAATTCGAAGAACCGCGCCGCCGTCACCGTCGTCTCTAGCTAGCTCGCTCGCTCGCTCGCGCTCTCCGCCCGTGAGAACTCCCACGCGAGCATCTCGCGTCGATCCAGTCGAATCAGCGCCCCGCGTTCGATCTAACCTGCTTCGTGCCGTCGCAGGGATCGGAGCGCTCGGTTCCAGTAGAAGCGTCTCGGAGTTCAAGGCGACCTCGTCAGCCATGGCGGACGAGGAGCACCCGGAGAGGAGGGAGGAGGCCTCGGAGGTGAGCTGGTTTTTTCTCCGTCGCTGCGCTGATCGAGACGGGGGGTTTCAGTTAGTTCTAGTTCTAGTGCCGTTCGGCTGCTTGCCCTGATTCGATGCGGTTCTAGCTAGGGTTGAGCTTGCGAGTTGTGGGCTGGATTTGAGGTTCTGTTCCACCACATGTTTATGTATATTTTTTCTTCTCCTACAGCTTGCCCCTTTGATCCAACCAAGAAGAAGAAAAAGAAGAAGGTTGTCATCCAAGAACCTTCTGATGAAGTGGACACGCTTGCAGAGAAGACAGAAACATTGGCAGTCACAGAACCCGCTGAACTTAACTTCACTGGAACGAAGAAGAAAAAGAAGAAGCAGGTACGGCAGATACACTTGAGCTGGACTGGATAATCTTTAATGTTTAAGAATCAGAAAATGAAATGCGGCTGCACATTTATTCATTCCGCAAAATTTCAGGTGGATCTTGATTCAACTATTGCCGACCTTACCGATGGGGAGGACACTCAAGGTGCATTTCACTTGTTATTAATCTAAACCTTGCTCTCATTGACTACTTCTGCAATATCTAACTCCCTGCTTTTCAGACGATCAAGCTGTAGAGGAACAAGGGGAAGGCATTGAGCTTGGAGGTGGCCCTACATACCCTTGGGAAGGAACTGACCGGGATTATAAATATGAAGAGGTGATTACATATTTTCTGCCAAATATTTTTCCCTTGTAAACATGGATATCTGTTTATCCCTTGGGAAGGGCAGGCTTGGTGCAGTGGTGAGAGCTGTCTCACTGAGTCACCAGATCACGGGTTCGAAGCAGCCTCTCCGCAGATTTTGCGGGGCCTCGGTTTTTCCCTTCCCCAGACCCCACTCATGTGGGAGCCTCCGGCACTGGGTCTGCCCTTTTTAGAAGGGCAGGCCTGGTGCAGTGGTGAGAGTTGTCTCACTGAGTCACCAGGTCGTGGGTTCGAAGCAGCCTCTCCGTAGATTTTGCGGGGGAAAGGCTTGTCTCGGCTTATCCCTTCGCCAGACCCCACTCATGTGGGAGCCTCCGGCACTGGGTCTGCCCTTTTTTTTTAAACATGGATCTCTGTGCATTAGTTTTTAATAGTAAAAATGTGACTATTTGGTAGCCTCTTGGCTTATATGTCACAATTGCCCCAGATCTTTACATCTTCGTGTTTCTAATGTTCTATGACATTACAACCACATTTTGTCGTTATGACTTGCATGCTATTGACACCTGTTTCTTTGATTATTATTAATTTTGGTTACTTCTTTTCGCTGTGGGCCTCCAATATATAACTACCTTGGAGGAACCAAATCACTACAGCGATGTGTTACCTTTTTGTCTCTGAAATTTAACCTTGAGCTTTTTCTGTTGCAGCTGCTGGACAGAGTGTTCAACATTCTTCGTGAGAACAACCCAGATCTTGCTGGGGATAGGCGTAGGACCGTTATGAGGCCACCACAAGTTCTTAGGGAGGGAACAAAGAAGACAGTTTTTGTTAATTTTATGGATTTGTGTAAAACGTAAGTTTCAACCTAATTGTGGCAGCATATTTTTAACTGATACTCTCTCACCTTCTTAAGTGCTCTCTGCTGCTCCAGTTGTTCAAATTACAATGAATTGACTTTTAACTGTATCTTCAGGATGCATAGGCAACCTGAGCATGTGATGATGTTTTTGCTTGCTGAAATGGGAACAAGTGGGTCACTTGATGGGCAGCAAAGGTTGGTGATCAAAGGAAGATTTGCCCCCAAAAACTTTGAAGCAATCCTGAGGAGATACATCAGTAAGTTATCCAATTTGATTGCGTTGATGGTTGTAGTATCCCTTTGTGAACAGATGGCATGTCATTCCTTTTTATGAACATACCTGCTGTCTGCTGATATGATTGAATAAATCTGATGGTTGTTTACTGTCTCTCCCTGTGACTCAATTTTTCAGATGAGTATGTCATCTGCAATGGATGCAAGAGCCCTGATACCATTCTGTCCAAGGAAAATCGTCTGTTCTTCCTTCGCTGTGAACAGGTAAAATATCTTGCAAAACCATGTAGGATGTGGGGCCTGCAGTTTTGTTGTGATAGATTTCCAACGGCTCTGGGAACATTTCGCTATTCCCGTTTCCTCACTTTATCCATGACTGTTTTTTGTTATACATTGGTAATTGAAGCCATTTATCCCATCATCCGTGTATTTTTCTGCCAATGATGAGTTGCAACTTTAAGGTTTAGGGTTGTTGATGAAAGTCTGATAAGAAGTGCAAGTTCTGAGGCAAACAATTCCACAATTCATTCCATGCATTATCTGCTATCAATGTTACCATCTCATATTTTGCTGCTCTAGTTTTGTGCATATTTAAGATCCTTTCAAAATGAAACAATTTTTGCTGACTTTTCTAGTACTCATTTTTGCCTACATTTGCGGATTGGCTTATTAGCCCTTGTTTGGTCCAGCTATTGTGTTCTAGACTATGATGAGTTGCAGAATCATTTGCCTACATTGTTTGAGTTTGTGATAACATCTGCAAAATCTGAGTCTTTCATTGATCATATTGGAAGACTAAATATTATACTCCCTCCAGGTTGGTAAAAGAAGTCGCTTTGGACAAAGTTTGGGTCAAACATTGGAAATATAAATCATGAATAACTTTTAAGTTGTTGAGTTTGAAAATGTGAAAACCACAAGAATAGATTTGTCGTGAAAAATACTTTCATAAAAACATACTCAATCCGTTCCAAATTATAAGACGTTTTGGCTTTTCTAGATTCATAACTTTTGCTACGCACTTAGATATACACTGTGTCTACATGCATAGTTAAAGCAATGTATCTAAAAAAGCCAAAACGTCTTATAATTTGGAACTTAGGGAGTACATGTATCACTTTTCAATAAATATTTTTATAGGAATAAGAAGTCAAAGTTATGCTTTGGAGACCGTGTCGCTGTCCAAAACGACTTCTTTTACCAACCTGAAGGGGAGTACCTTCTTGTTGTTGCCTTTTCATTCTCATTTCACTTCCATTCCATGTTGCTTTTACTCGGTGAACACTTCTAGAGTTCTAGTTGACACTTGCATGGAACCATAACGCCACTATATGGTTTTGCCAATGATGAATTGCAACTTTATTGCCTACATTGTTTGACTAGTCTTCTGTGATAAGAAGTGCAATTACTGAGGCTTAAATAGAGTCATAAATTTGTGCCATAATATATCTGCTATCAGTTTCACTATCACTTAATTTTATGTTTATATAGGTATTGTTGCTTATGAATATTATAACCTTGAGTTTTCTCCTACCAGCCAAACATTTCCCGTGCTGAAATTCGCTACTTCATTCTTGTGTGTGTTTATTCTTGTAGCCTATGATGAGTTGCAGAATTATTTGCCTACATTGTTTGAGTAAAACATTGATATTATCTGCAAAGTTCTGAGGCTATTCTTTGAAATCAGAATGGAAGACTCATATTTGATTCCAACTCTAATGGGCCATTTCTTTTGCTATCTATAGTGTGGATCTTCAAGGTCCGTTGCTCCAATCAAAGCTGGATTCGTTGCTTGCAAGTTGGTCGTCGGAAGGCCTGAACACAGAACAAAGCTTTGCATTATTAATCCTGTTGGCTGCCATATGATGTTAGAATGAGAGCTTGTGCTCCGTTTTGACAACCAATTTTGCATTGCGACCATTGTGGCCGTGTATTTCTTTTTTCTTATGTCATGTTAATGCAGGTGAGTTTCAGTTTATGATTTGCTTTATCTATATATGGCTGGAATTGGGGCCATACCAATTCAACAATATTAGATTATTTGCTGACAACAGATTGTGCTGTGCAATGTTGAGCAAGATCTGCCTTTGTCGCAGTTCTGTGGCAGATGGCTGAGTGTCATGCATCCTGATAAGCGAGTCTCCCTGCGATCATAATCCTGTGACAGCTGGCTATTATCAGTCTGTTAAACTTCTTCCTGCGGACACAAACACGAGTTCATCAAGATTTGTCCCAAGAATTTTTTTTAAAACAAAATGGATCATGAACATCAGAAGTTAATAACGCAAAGACTGACATTACAGTATTTATTATAAAATTATTTTTATATTATGTGTTCTATTTTAGATAAATGTTACTCTCTCCATTTAGGATAAATATGTTACATTTAATATTGCTGCGTATACTTAGGAGACGGGCTTTATTTGTATTGCATTCGGAGGATAATAATCTGTCCTAATAAGCTGTAAAGATCTTCCTCTGTCATGTAATTTCTTTAATTAACAGCCCTCCTTTTTTTTGCGATTAGTAGCCCTCCTTTTTAGCCGCCCTTTGTCATGTAATACAATCAATCCACACACTTAAATTTTTCCCTACGGATTCTATCTGATTTATTTAATAATCCTCCTTTTTAGCCTCCTCTAAAACCACCATATACATAACGAGTAGATTGTGTGAATTTTCATTTTTTTTAATTATCATCTTCTAATTTGCATGTTTTTCCTGATTTATTTAAATAAGCATTCTCTTTAGCTCCCTCTAAATCCACCAAACGAAGTCACCATGCACATACCATTAACGAGTAAACCATTCTCTTTAGCTCCCTCTAAATCCACCAAATAAAGTCACCATGCATACCATTTAACGAGTAAATTGTGTGAATTTCCATTTAAATAAACCTCCTCTTTAGATTTCCATGTTGGGGTACATACGTTTTCTTTTCTTTGGTCTAAAATTTAAATTTTCAATGTTAGGGTGCAGGCGTTTTCCTTTTAGTGGATGGAGGTGACTTTCGCTTGGCTAATAGTGTTATTAAAGCCAATCAAAGGATGAGAGATGCTCCCAACCAAACAGTGCCAACATTGCCTTAACATTTACCATTACCACATTTCACCTTATGAACATATTTTCGAGTACAAAAGCTAGAACCAGAGCTAATTGTCCATATCCGGTATTTCCATGCTAATTGTCCATAGACGATACAGAACCAGCGTCTCTTCTGCAAGTCACGTACCATAACATGTCACTAATCAAAATTTTAAGCACATTTTCAATGAGCTAAACATCCTTAGTCCTTCAGCCTAGAGCTGGATGCGTTCACCTCCTCAAGGATAGGCGCAGGCCTGACGTAGGTGAAGCCTGCGAAGTGGCTGTGCCCGCCGCCAGCGGGGGTGGTCACCGGAGAGTCCAGCACGGGCGTCTTCGTCCAGCACTCGTCGAAGTTGGCAATGCAGGTAAGCCCAGCAACATTCGGCCGAAAGCTCGGCTGGATCTGCCGGGCCTCCAGCTTCCTCCAATTGATTGGCTTGAACCACTTGTGGTTCTTTATCTCATTGCTGCCTCCGGGGCTGCTGCCCAGCCGCCTGTTGGGTTCCTTGTGCAGGAGCTGGAAAATGGAAGGGATGGAGAATGTGAGCTCAAATCAAGCTAACGCTTCTGCACTGATTAAATGAATGTAAAAGCTTACGCCTTTCAGAAGGGAATGAGCTTCACTAGACAAAAATGAAGGAAGCTTCAGTTTATCTTTTATAATCTTCTGCTGAACTTTGTCCCTATTCCCAACAAATGGTGGCTACAATGTGTTGCCAAGAGTATGACCAATTAGCAACGAAAGCAAATGAGAACATCTCATGAGAAGTTGAGAACCATGCAACTCACCTTGCCTGTAAGCATTTCAAAGAGCAGGATTCCCACGCTCCACCAGTCAGCAGCCTTATCATGCCCCCGGCCAAGAATAATTTCCGGGGCCATGTACTCAAGAGTGCCACACATCGAGTTTGATCTGGTATTTTCACAGAATTCCTTTGCAAGGCCAAAGTCTGTGAGCATGGCCTAGAAAGGTAGGGTGAATGATGAGATGTTAGCAAATGAGGAACTGGAAAAGGAAGGTTGACAGTCATCATCAGTGATTCTTACATGGCCATCAGCATCCAGAAGGATGTTTTCGGGCTTGAGATCCCTATGCATAATTCCATTAGCATGAAGATGCGCTACGGCAGATACAATTTCAGCTGTATAGATTCGTGCAAGCTCCTCCCTTGTTATGTAAAACCAGTTTAGTTTCAGTGCTAGTGTTACTGCCTTTTGGCAAATAAAACTACCTAGCAAAAAATGGAAGATACCTAAATAATCCTTGCTTGTAGAGCTGAAAGAAAAGATGCCCCCCGTTTATGAAGTCCAGGACAAGGTAAAGTCGATATTTTGTCTGCATAGTTAGAGCATTACAATCGAAAATCTGTACTAGGATTTCACCATACTTAATATATTTTTCCTGTACAGTGAATAAGGATGAGAGTATGCACACAAACAGTTTACCTGAAATGAGTACCTCAGCTGCACTATGAAAGGGTGGTCGACTTTTGTCAATATCTCTCTCTCGGCTTTCATATACTCAGAATGGTTTTTCTCTAATATCTTGTCCTTCCTCATAACTTTCATTGCATATATCTCCGAGGTGTTTTTCTTTCTCACCTGAAATACTTTACCGAATGCCCCTTGGCCAACAAGCTTCAAGATTTCGAAATCATCAAGCCCAACGCCCTCATCCTCCGTCATAGCATTACCAAGCTCTTCATCACTGAGCTGCCCTTGGTCCCCTTCCTTTTCTTCTGAGAGGCACTTTACAAGTTCCGATGATCCCTCAGTTTTTCCTAGACTAAGCTTGCTAAGTCGCAAGGAGCGGCTAACAAGTGATGTTGGACCAACAAGAGAATGGGATCGGTTGATGATGACAACAGGATCACTGTAAAATTCTTCATTGTACTCAACAATAGGTGAAGGACTGTCCGGACCAAGACCACCAAGGTTTGTTGGTGTTTGGACCGGGGTGGAACCAAAAACATCAGAGAAATCGTACTCGATGTTCTCTGAGGAAACAACATCTGGAGGGCCCATTGGGAGAAGTATCTTTACTGGGCAGAGGTTGGGGCCCTGTGCGAGGATTGCAGTCAGAGAGGATGGCTGAGAAGAAACCATTTCAAAAGCTTGAAAGCCTACAAACTCTTAGGCCAAGCTTCTACCACAGTGTCTAAATTAGGCTCCTTCCACTGAACCTTCCACCAGGAATTCCCAAGTATCCCGCGAAAAGGCAGAGAAAGATGATGCTGCTGTTCACTGTTGAATAAGGGATGTTGGATGCCAGTGCTTTCCCAGACCTCATGAAGCTGAAACAGACAAAGCTGAAGACAAAATAGATATTTGGTTAGCCTTGCCTTTTACCAGAAGAGGAACAGGAAAAAAGAATCATTTTTCATCACACAGTAGCTTGAAAAGAACTATTTTACAGAGAAAGCTACAATAACAAGTTACAAATCCTAGAAAGTTCGTGAAACTAGTGGCCTTACTAGGATTCCTACATTCATTGACATTGCAGATATATCTGATAACCCCACACCCCCTCCCAAACACACCCACACCAAAAAAAGAAAAGGAGAAAACCTGAATAATGCTATAAAAGCTAAACAAACATGCTATCTTGCGAATAAAAAATGTAGCTGAATGCTGTAAAATCTCCATAAGTAGGCAACGTTCTACAGCACTGGGTTATCAGCACCGCTTGCCTAGTGCATTAGAAACTCCAGCGCAGCAATCAACAAGCAAATGGGTAAGTATGCAACTTAGGAGCTGTTTGAACACTAAGTTTTCTTGGAGTTTTAGGAAACTACAGCGGTTTTCTAAAATAGTTGGATGCAACAATGTTTTCAAGTTGTCCGATTAATCGTGATTAGTCGGTCTGGTTGGTACCATGACCTCGATTAGAGACTTCGACTCGATTAGCTCGACTAGAAACCTGGTCGTCCGACTAGTCGACGACTAATCACAATTAGTCGTCCGACCAGGGGGCTACACAACCAGGCTGGGCACTGCCTTCTCTGGGCTTGACTGACTGGGCTTCCAGGTGAGTAGTTGGGCTGCCAATTTGGCCCACTAGGGTCTGTAATATATATACAGGAGGCCAAGTCTCTAGGGTTCCCATCTCTCATTCTCTCCGGTGCGTGACGGCTGCTGCTGCTCTGGTCTTTCTCTCTTCTTTGCTCCTGTGCGTGACGGCTGTTGCTGCTCTGCTCTTTCTCTCTTCTCTGCTTCTCTTCCCCAGCCAGCACGCCTCTTGGTGAAGCTCTTCCGTGGCTCTGCGCCTCTGCTCCCCCCTAGCTCACGAAGATGAGCTCTTCCTCCAATGATGGTAGGTGTGCCCACTGCCCAGACCAGACTCGACTGGTCGTCCTGGTCGACGACTAATCGCGACTAATCGTCTGGTCGGTCCCATGGCGACCAGAGTCGACTAGACGACTTCAAAACATTGGGATGCAATAACAAATCTTGTAGTTTAGAAAATCTAGATATTTCTAAAACTGTAGCCTTTTGGAGTCATAGATTAGAAATACACTTGGGATGCCATGCACCTACTCTATAAAACAAGCTGTTGATATCATGACTCTTTAAAAGACTGTCATCCAAACATGCCCTTAACAGCCTATAGGTAATGAAGTTGAACCATGAACAATGTGCTGAGAATCTTGATAAACTCTAATGCCTGGTCTGCCACTGCTAAAACCAATATCCCTTGAATGGCACCGAATTAAATTGTTAATCCCTACGGCGTGACGGTTTTAGTAGTGACAGATCAGACCACCAGGGATTAGACTAGGAGCACCATGACACATCCACAGCCATGAATGAATGAAGCTTTAGAGCAAAACAAGGACCATCAGGTCCCAAAACTTAGCTCCAAAATTTTAGAATAGAGGCACAACCCCTGCTTTTATAGAAAGCAACAAATTACATGATTTTTTGCTTCCTGACAATGCAGGACCTATGCTTATATTCTAAAGGTTTACCAAATCCTCATTAATCTGACTATCCTAGCGACGCCATTAAGAGATACTCTAGGCATGTACTCTCCAATCCTATCATCCTATACATATTATCCTGTAGCAGTTGCTAGTGTGCACCAAATGAAATCACATAGTGTGGGTCTGTGGGATCCCGGCTCGGCTGGCTGCCAACAAGCTCGTAATTAAGCGCAGTTCAGATACCTGCATGGGCAAACGATTGGCAGCCCAGCGGCTCCGGCCAAGGCAATCAAACAATTGGTAAAATCGCTGCTCTCCTTCCCAGCACAACCACATGCCCACATCCAAATGACAAAATCGTAACAGCGCAAGCAACCAATCCGCCAAAAAAAATAGGGACAGCAGGATTTGCATGGGGGAATCGAACAAGGGAACCGATCAAGCGAAAACTACGGGCGAACATGCCAGGATCAAGAGATCGAACCGTTCGTTATCTCCGGAGCCCGCGGATCGCTAGCGAGTGGGAACCCCTGTGTGTGACGAAACACTCGCGAAAAAGATGCGGGATGCGGCGCAGGCGGAGGAGGGAGCGGGGGAATTCCGCGGTGCTACCTCTCGCTGATGGAAGATGGGGGCGCGCTCAGCTCCGACCTCGGACCTCCGACCCGCTCTTCTCCTTCGGGGCGCGCCGCGCGCGGGTTGGTTGGTTGGTGGCGGGGAGTGGGGAGTGCCGAGGAGGAAGGAGGGAGGGGAAAGCGGCAGGCTGGGATGGGGGCGTGTGGCTTCCGAAATGGCGCACGTTGGGGAGCACGCCAGTCCAGGCACGTTGGCGAAGGAGGGCCCACCAGTCAGTGTCAAACGGTGGGCCAGGGTCTGTCCAGCCGCCAGGTTGGTGACGTCTCCATCTGGATCTACTCGATGCTCGTTATCTTTTTCCGACTCGCGGGAAACCCTGTTGACCAACGGCACGCCAGCGGAGTTTTCACTGGAGACGGGGAGCCGTCAGCGGTCAGCCCGTCACTTCGGTTGGTGTGACGAGCCCAGGTCGGCAGTGGCCCAGCTGCACGCTGGGCCGAGCCCAGCTAGCTAACGCTACGCTTCTGCTAAAAAAAAAAAAAAACACTAGCGCTGCGCTTGTATAGCTATCTCACTCACTTTGTCACTTGTTTGTTTCTAAAAAAAAAAATTTGTCACTTGCAATAACCTTGTGTCTCACACTCACACTTTGTGTCCATTTTTTATTACGTTGTTCGAATTGGCCAAGTAATGAGATGTTTGACACATGTACGGAGTATTAAATATATATTATTTACCTAAATGTATAAATTGAGACTAATTTACGAGACGAATTTATTAAGCCTAATTAGTTCATGATTTGATAACGGGTGCTGCTGTAAACAAGTGCTAATGAAGGATTAATTAGGCTTAATAAATTCGTCTCGCGAATTACTGATGAATTCTATAATTTATTTTTTTATTAGTATCTGAATACCTCATGGGACATTTGATGTGACATATCTTAAATTTTAGTCCCTGCATTCCAACACAAACACCTAGAGGCAGCAGCCGCCTTGCCTGCCACTGCCACGTTTCTTGGGTCATTCTTGAGTGGGTTCAGGTGAAAATAGTACTACTATAGTAGTACGTGTCAGACCGGTCCACTGTGACATTTGATTTGCCTATATAGAGCCTATTTGCTTGTCTGAATTCTAGAGGAATTTGGATGGTTTGGAGGAATGTTGGAGAAATTTATGAGAGGAAAACACTATTCCGAATGAAAAAATAAAGTCAGGTTTAAGAGCACGCGAACGGGGCCATAGTATGTGCCCGGACCCAGAAGGAAAAAAAGGGAATAATGATACCTTTTCTGGATTTTTTTTTGTTGTTGTTCGGTGCGCAATGGCTGTGAGGCTGTGAACGGAACTTGGATGTAAAAAAAAAAACTTAGTCTACGGTGAGCAAACAGCCCCGCAACTTTGCGCTTAAAGAAAAAGATCTTCTCACGCAGAACGAGAAAACCTCCAAACGCCGTGTCCTGTTACCCTGTGAGTGGGCTGAACTCGGGACAGACGATAGGATTTGGACCGTTGCCTGTGTTTTGAGAAATTCGGGACAGACGAGAGGAGCGAACGAACGCACCCGTGGGTTCAAACCCTGCACGCGAGAGTACCAGCCGGACGTCCCGACCATCTGGTCTGAGGAGCCGCCGGTAACGGAACTTGGATGTACACGTAGGAGAGTACACCTTCCGGAAGCCCGGTGGAGTCCTCGGTCGCTTTACGCCACGTTGCTCCACAGACCACGAGCTACTCGTGCGTCCGTCCGTCAGGTGCACAATCATGGCATGTGATATGATATGCTGCCTGCCTTTTCTGTACGTGACCTCGCTGAGCGCATGCACGAACGACGCTTCGTTGGACTGCGGTGTGCCGTGCGTGCCGGCCCCAGTTCATTTTCGAAACCTGCGCGTCTACGAAACCTCACAGCCTTTCCAGCTACCGCGCCGTGCCCACCTTGCCCGGGGCCCGGCGGGCAAACAATCCGCTGGGGCTGGGGCCTCGCCGCCGCCTCGCGTTTCCCCAGTCCCCCACCCGGGCCGCGTGGCCGCGGACGAACGCGGCCCGCGGAGCCATCAAGAGCAAAGCAGCCGCGTCGGCCGCCTGCCGGTGCCAGCCCTAGTCCCGTCGCGGTCGCCCGGTGCACACCCTGAGAAAACGCCAGCCAGTCCAGGTTCCAGTCCAACGGGTCACCACCACACGCTCGGCTCGGCTTGGCGATGGGGCCACCCACCACGCTGGCATCCAGAAGGGATACGGCTCCAATCCTACGTGCGCCCACCCCACCCGCCGGCGCGGGATGGAGATGAGAAGACGACGCGGTGGCACCCGCGGCTGGCGTCGGCGACACGGTCTCTCGCCACTCATCCAGTCCCCTCCTCGGCCCCGCGGCGACCTGGCCCTCCTTCCTTCCCTCACCCGGTGGGCCCCAGCCTACAGGCAGTGGACGTCTCCACCAGACCACTCGTTCTCGTTGAAGTGGTCGCTCCACACCCGCCGCGGCTCCCTCCTCCCCCTTTCTCCTTCGCTTCCGCCCCCCGCGTATAAATATTTGCCGAGCACGCGCCATGACCTCACCCTCCGCTCCGCGCCTCCGCCCCTCTTCTTTTTCTATTGCTCCCCCGGC